CCCAAAGTTAAAAACTGTTGTTCTTTTGAGGCCCTCAAGGTGGCGCTTGCGGCCCACAATTGGGCAGCAGCCCATGGGTTAAGAATCTCTGGCCTACACCACAGGCTCAGATACACGTCAGGTGTTTTTCAAAATGGTGTAACAACCTACAGGTTGGTTAATTATTTAGTAAGTACAAGGAGATCTTTTTTTTAATCAGGTAAAACTTAATTAGTCAAGATTAACTCACATTTATCTATAAGGAAAATCCTTATTTAGACAGGAATTATTTTGGTTTTAATTCACAAATATTTATTTAAGTTTAAAAATTAGAATAAAAAGTTTTTTTGTACAGTTTTTGTGTCGAACTGAACCTTTAATTTATTCGGCTCTGATTAGCCATTAGCTCAAAACTCAATTCTCCAAACTGCCGTCTGCTGCAGGTAAGATATTGACAACACGCATCTGAAATTGTGTTTGGATGTTTGTTGTAAAATCTAATCAGGCGTAGAAAAATCCTTACAAATTGTCTTTACTTCCTGAAAGAATAATGTTTCAAAGAGCTGAAGGTGCACACAGAGTGTGTAAATTTGTGTTTTTCATACAGAAAATGTTCTTTTTCTTCAAACCAGCAGAGCCTCCTCCACAATGAGACAAGAACGATAACAAAAGTTTTATTTTGTAAAACCTGCTCAGCCTCGACMCGTTCCTTTCAGCTGGTTCTGACCGCCGCTTTCATCCAAGAAAAGAGAAGCAGAGATGACCCGCTTTGGATAAAAACACACAAGTGTGGGCTGAGGGAGGTGAAGACAGAACGAGTCCGAATAATCCTTACAGTAAAAAACAAACCGCTTACACAGAAAGAAAACAGATTTTCACTTTTAATGAACAGTTTTATGTTGAATTAAAATTATTTCTAAAAACACAGGTTTTTAACATCTAATTATTAACATTATTACCTTTTATAATTTTTTTATTATTATTTCTGCAAAACTACTCAACTGAAACAGCAAAAAATGCGCTGATAAACAAAAAGGATCAAAGAAAGTAGCTAAACTGCAGCTAAAAAGGAGCAGGATAACAGCCAAAAACTAAAAGATAAGTAGATAAAAAACTAAAAACAACTAATTGGTRGTAAGGTGTAAAAGTCATAATAGCAGCTAAAAGCTAAACATAGCAACTAAAATAGGCAAAGTTGTAGCTAGAAGCTAACTGTAGCATAAGACAAACACAGAGCTAGAAGCTGAATTTCAAACAGAAACAGATGAAGGAACTGAAAAACTCTATGGAGGGAGAAACTCATTTCTACATAAAGTTAAATAAGAATAAAATAAAAATAAAAAGTGATCAAACCCTAATTCTAAAAACAACATTTGCAAAAAAAACACCAATAAAACAGCCGAAACTGTAAAACATTTTCATGCCGAGTCTGCGTTTTACAGAAAAACCTTTGATCCTGATCTGAACTCTTTGGTTTCTCAAAGTTTGTTGTTGTTGTTGTGTTTCTCAATGTTTGTTGGTGTGTTTCTCAATGTTTTTGTTTTTGTGTTGTTTCTCAATGTTTGTTGTTGTTTTGTTTAACGTTTTTGTTGTTGTTTTGTTTCTTAATGTTTTTGTTGTTGTTGTTGTTTCTTAATGTTTTTGTTGTTGTTTTGTTTCTTAATGTTTTTGTTGTTGTTTTGTTTCTTAATGTTTTTGTTGTTGTTTTGTTTCTTAATGTTTTTGTTGCTGTTGTTTCTTAATGTTTTTGTTGTTGTTGTTTCTTAATGTTTTTGTTGTTGTTCTTTCTTAATGTTTTGTTGTTGTTCTGTTTTTGCCCACCTTGCTGTGAGCGTACACCACAGATCCCAGCAGCTTCCAGGTCCCTCCTCTCCGGTCCATCCGGACCATCCGGAGGATCTGCAGGAAGCGCAGACTCCTCAGGACCGAGGTGGCAAAGATGTTCCCCTGGCTGCCCGCTGAGACCACCGCCACAGACGCAATCAGGACGATGATGTCTGCAGGAGACAGAGAGGAACGTCAACACAAGGTCTGGAAAGTACAAAATACTAAATACAGTAAATATACACAGAAAAGAAGTATCTGGGACTGATGGTTCTCACCCCTCTGTGTGATAAATTAACCTACAACAAACCTTTCATCATCATCATCATCGTGTGGATGTGATGAGGAGAGCAGACGCAGGAATAAAGATTTAACAGAAACAGACACGACTCAGCAGAAGTTCTCACACAAACCACACGACATGAATCAGAGCGCTAACATTGGGTTTCCTGTTTCAGGCACAACCTGAAACTTTAACTTTTATTCTTTTCTCCTGAAGTTTTTCAGCATCTCTGAGCTCCATCCTCAGGTCCATCTTCAGCTGAACGAGTACATTTCAGAGAAGACGCAGAGTTAGGAATAACAGTATCTTACCTGTTGTACATAAATCTTAGAACAATCTAAGTTTAGAGAAATTAATATTTCTCACATCAGTAGGCTAACAGCTAGTCTGATCTAAAAGCTAGCCCGAGCTAACAGCCTGTCTGAGCTAACGGCTAGCCCAAGCTAACAGCTAGTCTGAGCTAACAGCTAACAGCTAGTCTGAGCTAACAGCTAACAGCTAGTTTGAGCTAACAGCCAGCAGCTAGTCTGAACCAACAGCTAACAGCTAGTTCAAGGTAAAATGTAGTCAGAATATCTCGGTCCTGTCGTTTTCAGTTTGAACCCTCTGTATGTTCAACTATTGAAGGTTTTAACTCAAAATCTGTGAAACATTTTTGGACTGAGTGTTGTTTAGCTGTGGCTGCCATCTTGAATCGTGACGTCTCTAAATGTTATTGCTTCACACGCACACATAAATAATCACCTGCAGCAGAGAAAAGCCTGACAATGAGAGACGTGTTTCTAAAGATTCAAGTTTAAATCATGCCTGATTTAAAACAACCTCCCTGACTCTGATCACCGAGGCTCGCACTCAGAAAAACATTTCCAGGATATTTCCTCTTCAAGCAGAGAGAGGAAGTGGAGCTGCGTCATCCATCTGTAAATAAAATCTAAAAACCTGCAGACTAACAGSAGAACAAGAGCTGCAAATTATACAGGTGAGACTTTTAATATCAACCTGCTTTTAGTGGCTGCAGACGACCATCAGCCGAACAGCAGGACACTTTTATTATTTCTGTTCTGAGGAGCTGAAAGGAATGAGTGGGTGTGAAGAAAAACCATGTGGACAGTGTTTAGTGGCTCCGCTAAAAGACTACCTGCAAATTTATAGATTTGATTTATAGGTTCAAGGAAACAGATTCAGATCTTGATTTCTGACATTTTAGATTTAATGCAATTCAAATTCATTCTTTTTATAATTCTATACTTCTGCAGTTATTTTAGTTTATCTAAACGTTCAGCTGAATCAGGAGTTAAAATATTTATTTACAAATAATTTACCAATAAGATCTGAGATCTGCTACAGCAGCTCTGTTCAGATCTTTTTCTACTTTAAGCAACTATTCAGCTACTTTTAAATACACATTCCCTCTGTGCTGCAAACATCAGCCAAAACCCAAAGCTCTTTATGCCCCCCTGTCCCCCCCCAAGACCACCCAACTGTTTCCTATCAGACAAGCTAACATCTGAACATCAGAGAAAAACAGAACAGAGAGAATCCTCCCAACATAAACGCTCTCTGCTCCTCAACACAGCTGAACGTGACACCAGGAAACTACGAGTCCAGAGAGCCGAGGTGTGTGTGTGTGTGTGTGTGTGTGTGTGTGTGTGTGTGTGTGTGTGTGT